TGTTGCAACAGAAAAATAAAGATCTGCCTTGCTTTCTCTGGATCCTGCTTCCATCCTTCCATCTCTGACTGATCATGGGCTCAGTCCCTTGGGGAATTGGGTAGCAAGAACCAAACACCAATTTTTCTACATCACTTCATAGCCCCGCCCCTTAGTTGGTATAGGTCCTATTCTGTGTTTGGTTCCTTGGTCACACTGGAGTGTGACGGGATGTTGGCAATTAGGAACTGTCATGAGAGTTGTTCTTTCCCATAGAATGAGTGCAATATGGAAAGGCTATATGACACCAGTGGGAGGCACACCAGCAAGCAAACCTGGAGCTATATTGCTGATTAGGCAAATGACTGGAATATGCAGAGATGTTGTAAAATGTCCAGAAGAATTTTGCCATCCGGTATATTTCCTGGTTTAGGGCAACAGGTTGCCAAAGTCTTGAATGTTTCTGTCCTGTCTGGCTTGATTTGCAGCCTGGTTCCTTTGCTACTCTGACTTGCCTCCAGTGAAGGCTTTGGATGGTTCAGCGCTCAGTCACATTGCCTTGGGAGTCCTGCAGACCTGGGACTTCACAAAAACGATCTCTCTCACAGATGTTCCACTCAGGCTTACACTGCGTAATGGAGTTCATAGCTTTAAAACTGCACAAACAGTTCCATCATTGATGTGGCTGCCTGCTTTGCTCCTTGTTTTTTCCATGAAAAAGTGTGCAGCGTTGTGACAAGAACATAAAATCAGATAACATACATTTATGAGATCATTATTTGAAATGATACAATGGGTTTTAGCAAGATTAGAGGACAGGGACTGCTAACTAGTGATTCTCCAGATACTGCTGAATCCCACCTCCCATCAGTTTCAAACAGCACAACAGTCAGAGATGATGGGAATTGTGTAAACACAGAATGCTTTTTCGCATGAGGCTGAAACAGAATCATAGAATTGTAGAGTTGGAAAGGATCTCAAGGGTCATCTAGTCCAACCCCCTGCAATGCAGGAATCACAGCTAAAGAGTCCATGACAGATGGTCCTTCAACTTCTGCTTAAAAACCTCCTAGGAAGGACAGTCCACAACCTCCTAAGGGAGACCGTTCCATTGTCGAACAGCTCTTGCTGCCAGAAAGTTCTTCCATATGTTTAGTCAGAATCTCCTTTCTTGTAACTTGAAGCCATTGTTTTGGGTCCTACCCTCTGGAGCAGGAGAAAACAAGCTTGTTCCCTCTTCCATGTGACAGCCCTTGAGATATTTGAAGATGGCTAATCTATCCTCTCTCACTCTTCTCTTCTCCAGGCTAAACTTACTCGACTCCCTCGACCGTTCCTCATAAGCCTTGGTTTCCACACCCTTTATCATTTTGGTTTCCCTCCTCTGTATAGGTTCCAACTTGTCAATATCCTGAAGCGTAAGAAAATTTATGTGGCCATCATAACTGGATTCAAGTGAGGTAGGATAATCAGGAAGCATAGCTGCTACAGAGTATACTGCTTATACCCAAACCTTGAGGTTGATTGTGTGTGTGCAATAACCTCATGCAATTAAGACTGGATTTTGAGAGAGCTTTAGAGAATCTGCTCCGAGAGGCAAGTCACCTCTCAGTGCTGGCTTTGCTAGGCCAAGGCCAGCATGGGCATCATCAACCCATCTGGCAGGTAGCTTCTGCCCAGGGTCAAGTTGAAGCCCAGCAGTTGCTATTGAGCAGATGCAGCTCACTGTTGTGAGATAAGGAGAGTGCTGGAAGAATTCTTCTGGCATACGTGTGCCCAGATTATTTTGTCAAATACAGTAACACATTTTAATAGGATTGGGTGGGAGGGGAGAGTGAACTCTGAATAGGTGGGTAGCATATTAGCATTTGACTGCAATGGAATCAGTGCTCTTATTTAATGTTCAAGCAGTGGTGGCGCAAGGAAAAAGTGTGTGAAGGTCCAGAATTATAGGCAGAGACATGATTGTGAACTATCTGCATATCTATCTGCATATTCCAGGGTGGAGCAGTGGCATGGAATGCAGATTGCATGGCTAAGCATTGGAGCTGCTCTCTGGAAGTCCCTGCATCCCACATTCAGTGTATTCAACAGAGGTTTGCTCATTCACACGCACACACCAGATGTGAAGTAGCAGCTGGAATCAAATAGATCTTGGCCAGCAGGGGGTGGCATGGAGACATCCGTGGGCTTGGGGACCTGGGTCCTTCTTTCTCCCACACAGACGTCTCCCACCTGAGTCTCATTGTCCCTGAACAAAAGGTTCCTTCTCTCTGTGTCTGGTTTCCAAGCCTGTTAAGGGCCCAGCCAACAATTCCCTGGAGCTCGTTAGTGCTGGGTGCTTTTGAACTCCAGTGCTGCCCCCCCACGCCTCCCGTCTAGCTTTCATTCTCTTTCCTTTTCCAACATCAGCGTTCTTTAATGAAAAGAAAAGGGTTGAACGTAAGAAATCCTGAAGTGCCAATAAAACTATCTCTAAGTTCAAGTAATTATGGCAATTTCACAGCACCTGAACACCCAGCTGGAGAGGGAAAGAGAGAGAAACAGGCTAGCAAGGGAAGGTGACGCAGGTGGGGGCTCTGTGGTGGCGGGAGGGTGGGGAGAGAGGGATTGACGAACCTGCCATTATATTTTACATGGAAGAAAGCAGAATTCTCTAATCAATTAGCATATTCCCTAAGACTTCTGCCATGCCCACACAATTCTCTGTGGTCCCTCAGCCACCAATCAGATAACTGAATGCAAATGAGGACAGGGCTTATTAAAGGCGCCTCTTGGCCTTTGCATCACGGCAGCTGGATTTAAGTCCAGGCAATCTAAAGTGATTTAAATCACCAAGAGAAAAGGGACTGTTTAAATCGATTTGAATCCATTTGTCCATTGTGCATTTGATATACAGTGGTACCTCGGGTTACAGATGCTTCAGGTTATGTGTTTTCGGGTTGCGCACTGTGCCGAACCTGGAAGTACTGGAATGGGTTACTTCTGGGTTTCGGTGCTCGCGCATGTGCAGAAGGGCTAAATCGCGCTTTGCACATGGGCAGAAGCACCGAATCGCAACCTGCGTGTGTGCAGACGTGGCGCTGCAGGTTGCGAACGCTGCGGGTTGCGAACGTGCCTCCCGCACGGATCACGTTCGCAACCTGAGGTTCCACTGTACCTCTTGGAGCAGCATGTGTGCTAATTAGTTGCTATAACCTTAAAGCATATTGGTCTGCAATGAAACAGCCTTTATGCAGTGACCTGAACTCTTTGGGCATTAGGACCCTGATGCAGCTCGAGTCATACGCAAAATAGTATTTGCCATGTGACACATTGCAACAGAATTGGAATGTGCATTCAGATGGATATAGTAATAATAATTTATTGTTCATACACTGCCCATCTGGCAGGGTTTCCCCAGCCACTCACATGGAAAGGATGCCGGTGGATAATACCTTCATGTGGGTGAGCATCTGATTTACAACTGTGGTTCCCAATAGAGAAAGCGAGACACACATGCAAATCCTTTGCCTAAATTCTAATCCCCCTTCCAAAAAACCTTTTTCTTTGTCTTTCCTAAAGACCTCGTGTAATGGAAAGTATTGGAACCAATCCAATACCTAATTTTGTACCTCTTCTCTTCTCTTTAATACCACAATACCCTCTCTATGCTGAAGGAGGTCCTTTTTTTGTGCCACAGGGTCTTATTCATGCTTGGGTTTTTTACTGCCACTGCCTTGATGGGGGATATCCACCATCTTTCTTTCTAGAAAATCTTTATATATTGCCCATGTGCTGTAGATGTTCTTTCTAATCACATGATTATGAAATCCCTTATGCACCTTAGCTTTGTCATAATACAGGTAGGCATGCCATCCATACACCAGATTGAATCTTTCTAGGTCCAGAGTGTTTGAATTTTTCAGCTCCACCCAGGCTTTCATCCAACAAAGGCAGGCCGCCTCGTAGTACATTTTCAGGTCTGGGAGTCCAAATCCACTCCCCTGGTTCTTTGCAATGATTAGAATTTTGTATTTGATCCAGGGCTTTTTACCCTGCCAAATGAAATTAGTGATGTCCTTTTCCCATTGCTTAAAACAGTTGGTGCCGTTTATCACTGTTAGGACTTGAAACAAAAATATCATCTTCGGTAATTGCAGATATTCTTCCAAGAAATGAGAACGTCATTCGATTCCATTTCTCGAGGTCTTTCTTAATTTCTACCCTGGTCTTGGTGTAGTTATCTTGGAATAAGTTCAGATTTCTAGGTGCTAACCAGATTCACAAGTATTTAACTATCTTTTCTGCTTGGATACCAGACCTCTTCTCAAGGTTTATTTGGCCCATTTTCCCATATTTTGGATTATCATTTTGGTCTTCTCTTTATTGATATAGAAGCCAGCCAGACTGCCAAAGGCTGTGATGACCTCCAGCACCTTAGTTTTTCAACCAGCAGCTTCATCTCCTATAGCAAGGAGAATAGCATTCCTGGAAGATAGAGGAGAATTTGTCTGTCTGTCTAGCTATCCATCCACACATCCATCCATACTACATATTCAGTTAACGAGCCCTGCCAGTGGAAACCCATGCAAGGTTTTCTGCCACTGCAGTCCCCCCCCATTGGCTTGGTGAGGTTGTCAGGAGAACCCCTTGAAGGGCACCTGGAAGGAGGAGAAGGCAGATCATTCCGTCAAGCAGGCAGGTTGGCCACTGTGAACACAGGATGCAGGACTAGATGGGCTTGGACTGGATCCAGCAGGGCTTTTCTTACATTCTTGTTCCTACACAGGATGGATTAGGTGTCTGCCTGTGAAAACTATGAATATCTACATCTCAGATATATTTCTACTATATTGGTGCCATGAAGAACTTGAGTTGAGGTTTTTATGATGCACTCCATGACTATGAATGTGAGTTTACAAGCATATGGTGGATTTTGAGAGTTATCATAGAAAGCACCATGAAGACCTGGGCTTTGGAGCTTCTTATTCAATCTACAATGTGCGAGAACCATGAGCCATGACCATGCTGAGGGAAGGGCTTCAGCTCAGTGGCAGAGCATCTGCTTTGCGTGCAGAAGGTCCAGGTTCAATCTGCAGCATCTGCAGACAGGGCTGGGAAAGACTCCTGCCTGAAGCCCCCGAGACCTGCTGCTGGTTGGTAGAGATAATATTGAGTTTGATAGATAGAGCTGGCTGATAAGGCAGCTTCCTATGAGACATGCATTGTGTGCATACGTGATAAGACTTGGGGGTTCTGCAGTCTGCTTGTAAAAATCCTGAGGATTCACATGTATCTGCATCTAGTATCTGGTGGTGCCACAAATGGCTGGATCCATGATGTCAGATAAGATGACTTGTGTGTGTTAGGGGAGGTTCCTTTTGAAATAGGGAAGGTGCCTCCATGCGAACCAGGGCTTTGTATCCGTGCATATTCCTGCATTGCAGGGGGTTGGACTAGATGACCAGCAAGGGGCCTTCCAGCTCTACAATTCTGTGGCTCTGTGATTTGTACCACAATGTTGCCACACAGCTTTTTGAGGTCATGGGTATGAACTCTTAGGTGGTGAATCTGAGTCCTCTGCATTTTGCATATAAATATCATGTAAGTTCAAAAGGAAGTGTGCAGTTCTGCCTAAATTCAGCTTTTTGCCCAGGGAATATAGTAAAAGTCAGACCACTCTTACCCAGGGCTTTTCCTCTGTGGCTACGTAACACTTCAATCGCTTTTGGCAGAACCTGGTAGGGCTTCCATGAACCATCCTTTGAAACCCCTGGAGCATCCCCCTGGGATAACATCAGCAGCACCAGCAGGTTAGCCTGGAGGGAGTGATTCTGAGTGAACAAGGCGTGTGGGCAGCCTACTTAGGGTTGCATAATACAGGGGAGGTCGGCATGTGTTTGGATAGAGGAGGGCAAATTTGCTCCCTAGAGCCAGGTGTGGGAGCAAAGAACAGCATTTGATTTACAAGAGATCTGGCTAAATTTATGAGGGTTTTGTATCTGATGACTTTTAATGTGATGCTTTGGCAGAGCCCTGCTGGAGATCAAGACTTAATTCCCTCCTGGGGTTTTGCAGATTCCACCTCTCCCCACCCTAAATCTCATTTTCTATTTTAAAATGTTAGAACTGGCCACAACTGGAGATTTATTTTGTATTGAGTAGACCAGCTTGTGCAACACAGTGAAGATTTTCTTCTTGCCTCGATGTGTAGCAGCATCTGCTTCCACTACTCGCTAGCATCTTTAGCACCAATTCTGTGTCAGGTGCTGCGCAAAACACAGTAGACTGCGCTCACATTCATTCATATTCTCCTACAATGGACTGTGTCTGCTACATCTGAATCAAACCCAAAAGCACACGGGTTCAAATCATCTGAAGGGGGGAGGGGGAACTATTTTACTGTCCTGGTAGCTAAATTATAAGTTGAGTCACAAATAGCATTAAAGGTGAAACATGACTTCTATAAAATGATAGGACCATAATGAAATATTGTTGAAGCAGAAAAACATAGAATCATGGAACTGGAAGGGACCCCAGGGGTCATCTAGTCCAACCCCCTGCAATGTAGAAATCTTAGCTAAAGCATCCATGACAGGTGGCCAGCCAAGCTCTGCTTAGAAACCTCTAAGGAGGGAGAGTCCAGAATCTCCTGAGGGAGATACATCTTACATGTATTATAAAAAGTAAACAACACTTATTTGACCCCAGTTATTTGACACAGAGGAGGAAATCTACAGATACAGTCCAAAAGGTGCACAGGGAGAATTTTAAAAAGCAAGTGGTGCTCACTGACCTGGTACAAAAAGATATTGTCATCTGAAGGAGTCCTGGCTGCCTAGATAAAACACTATAGCCCCCCCCCCCCCTTAATCTGGAAGTAAGGCCCACTGAACTCAGTGTGGCTTTCTTCAGAGCAGGCACTAGATGCAAGTTGTCCTGGGGTGGATGTCACCCCGTGCCTTGCAGAGTCGGGCCCAGCTGCCTGATGCTGCCAAAGGGCCCTGCGCCCCTCGACCACTTCAGACGGCACTGCTCCACTCAGCGTTGGGGTGGATTGTACCCTGCGCCTTGCAGAGTCACTTCTTACTTCCCTCTGTGGCCCCCTAGTTTCATGCTGTGGCCCCCCATTTATGCAATTTTCACATGTGGGCCCCACAGAATATCCTGGGGGGGGAGGGAGGAGGCGCTGCCAGTTGCGAAACACTGATCTAGAATACCTTGTTTCTACCGTAGAGCCAAATTCAACTTACTAGTCCCAACAGCAGAAGCTTGGGCACGGCTTTCCCCACACCTCCTCCTTACATGCCCACCGCATTGGCTTGGGGGGTGTGTGTCAGACAACCCCTGGAATAGCACGAGTGGTAAAGAGAGGGCACATCGTTCCCTCAGGCAAGCAGGAATGCTTCAGCTGACAGAGCAACCTGCTCAGAGCTGTGCTGAATTCTTCCCATTGTGTCCAGGAAGGTCCACTTGGTTGAATCACCTGAATCTGCCTTGTCCGCTCGTCATTCCTGTGTGATTCCTGATTGGCTAGAATCCGAAAGAAGGAGGGAAAAAAGCTAAGAAAATGGATTGATGTTGAAGCAACAGCAGATTCCCTAATGAATGCAAAAACAATTTAGGTATTTCTGGTTGCTGCCTTTCATAATACTAATTCCCACACGGTTTACAATGTATATTAAAAGAAAAAACTATTATAATAAAGCAATTGAAATAAAAAACAAATTAGACAACTAAAATGAATAAAAGAACCAAACAGCAGAGTGTGAAGTGCATTTCCATTGTTCAAAATACAGCATCCTCCTAATTCTGAAAATACCAACCATCAAAATACCTGCGAGGTATCTTAGCCTGATCCCAAAAAGGTAAGAAAGAGAGAGCAACAGACAAACTTTCAATGGAAGAATTCATTGGGACACTGTTGAAGAAGAAGAAGAAGAAGAAGAAGAAGAAGAAGAAGAAGAAGAAGTCGTCTCTGGAGGGTGGCAATATAAGAGGGCCTCAGTGGAAGACCTTTGTGTTCGGACAGAGGTCCTTAAGTGAACCAATAACCAGTGCAGAGCTCTCCAAACTGCCAAGGTATGTTCCCAGTGTGCCATCTTGGACTGCTGTGTTTCAAACTAACTGCCGCTTCAGAACCATCTTCAAGGGCTGCCCTACATACAATGCATTATAGTAGTCTAAATGGCATATTACCTTATCATGAATCACAGTTGCCAGACTGTCCCAGGAGAGGCTCCAGCTGACATTCAAGTCCAAGTTGAACATCCCATGCCGCCCCACCCCACCCCCACCCCATGACCTCCTCCACCTCTTCCCCCCCTTTTCTTCCTAATGTAACCCTAATGTCTCAACAAATGAAACTGACCTATAGAAAATGTAACTTGAAAAAAAAGACATTGCGCATACTTTTGTAAACCAAGAAATCTTTAATTTAAAAACCAAAAACATCCCACGCCACAGAGAATAAACTGTGCCTCAAGTGGCAAAGGGACATCAAGAAGTACTGGAAAGCGGCAAACCTGATCTTTCAGTGCCGCCTGATCAGGGACACATTCAAGTCAGGCAAAAACACTCAAGGAGTATGCAAAGCAGGGCTCTGAGGGGTGTGGCCTGGGGAAGAGGTGTGGCCTGCACTCTCTGCACTCAGGCATTAGGCCTGTGCCCATTGCTGAGCTCAGGCCAATGATCGTCCCGCCTGATTTAGATGGAGAGACAGAGAAGAGCATCCTGTTGCCCATTGCTGAGCTCAGGCCAATGATCGTCCCGCCTGATTTAGATGGAGAGACAGAGAAGAGCATCCTTGCTGTTGTTTTGTGAGTGGCTGGAAATTCCCCAAAGAAAATTTCCTTGTCCCGAAACCTTATATTGATTGGTCATTTGGGACATATGCTTCCCCCCAACTGTTAAATTAAAAAATAGCAATTCCAATGCAGACACACCTGTATTGATAGGGAAGGGGCTGGATCTTCAGGTTCCAGGTAGAAGTGCAGGCGGTTCTCCCCTCCCACCTTTGCCCTCCATTCTGATAGCACCGCAGAGAGCAGCTCCCCCCCCCCCTGCTGCATTCTTGGCATGGCCTTGCATCCCTTTTAACTGTGCTTCGTCTTGAAGAATTGATCTGTACACTCTCCAGTTTGATCAAAGGTTGACATGCGGGTATGTGCTTAGCGCTGCCCTGTCACTGCCTGTTCTTTGCAGCTTCAATAATTCATCACAGGAGCCTGGAGAAACAGTGCCAGGCAATAGCAGAGTGGGAGAAGGGGGGGGGCTCCCTCCCACAACTTTCTGCTTGAGTCCAGTGGGGAGGAAACCAGCTGAGAGGTTATCGCTTGCTTGTCAATTCATTAAGCTGGGTCCACCTTTAATTGGGTTTTGCACGCTATTTTGCTTCTCCAGTAGAGTTTCACCCCCACCTTTTATTTCTAATTCTCCTCTCTCAGTTTCAAAAAGTAGAAGCCTTGGCTCTTCCCATCTCCCAGCCTCTCATTAAAGTACAGTGGTACCTCGGGTTACAGACGCTTCAGGCTACAGACTCCGCTAACCCAGAAATAGTACCTCGGGTTCAGTGGCAGAGCTTCATGCTCCGGCACCGGGGGTGGAGAGCAGGTGTGGGCGGGGCTGGTGGGCGTCCCGGGGGCGTGGCACGCTGCCTGCGGGGGTGGGGTGCCCAGTGCGGGCGGGGTGGGCAGCCGTAATGGAACCCCACTGGGATCATGCTGCCAGGGGCAGCGCGCTCCCCCCGCCCCCCTTTTCCTCTGCCAGTGCTTGGGTTAAGAACTTTACTTCAGGATGAGAACAGAAATCGTGCGGCGGCAGCAGGAGACCCCATTAACTAAAGTGGTACCTCAGGTTAAGAACAGTTTTAGGTTAAGAATGGACCTCCAGAATGAATTAAGTTCTTAACCCGAGGTACTACTGTATTGGCAAGCTAAAATATGCATTCATGTTTTTCCTTTAAAGGCTTATTTACTTATTGAAAAGATGTATACCCTGCTGCTCCAAAGCTCAGATGATTCAGGCTCAATGGTTGATATTCAAGTAAGTGTTACTCAAAGTAGGCCTACTGAAAGTAATGAATTTCAGGTCCATTAATTTCAGTAG